GGGGTGTCTGTGCTTGCCGCGTCACAAGCAAGAACACAGATCGTAGAGCTTCTGGGTCGGAGGACGCCCTGATGCATTTTACGGAGCTGTTACTACTTTGGTAAAAAATTCCCAACAGTAATTTCCCAAAAAAAAGTATTGTAGAATAAAAAATAATAAGAACAAAAAATATAATAAGTGGGGGGGGGGGAATCAAAATTTATTTATTTACGTCAAAAACAGTTGAAAACTGTGCGTGAAGTGCTATGGGGCTCTCAGCATTTGATCATGGATCAGGACTGGACAAAAACCTGATCGAGATGGGGGTATAATAGTGGTAATTATGGGGGTAAAATAAGCTCTTGGAAGGCTCACTTTACTACGCTAGGAATTCTACCAATGACCAGACTCATAAACGAATCAGAATTGGTAAACTGGAGGTGCTATTACTTAGCATATACTTTCTTGCATTAATGAAACAGTTACGTAATATTTTAATTATTTCTGACCTACTAACACCTCAGCTAGAACTTGAAAAAGTCTAATTCAACTAATTCAAGCAAAGCGCCTGAGGGGAAATTTTACATTTATTTCGATAGTCAGGAACGGTAAGCATTTATTTTTACAAATGAAACAAGCATGAATAAATTTAACTGTAACAGTATTTGAAGCACATTGTACAGAAAAGTAAGAATAATTTCACCCAAGCTTCCCTCGATTCTATCGAAGTGAGCTTCCAATTTCTGAATACCGTAATAAGCGATCAAAACTTGTTAAAGCACAAGATGTGTATGGTTCTCCTGCCCTCGCGACACGCAGCCGCGGGTGACCGCTCGTCACTCATCGACGTCGGCTGCCCGAGGATGTAAAAACGCGAGCGCATCGCAGTTCCACCCCTACGCCCCCCCTCCCAGAAACCCAGCACGACACTTGCCACTCAATGCAAACAGGCTTTGCTCCCTGGGATAAGAGGTAATACATTCTATTATGCACTCGTTGCCTTTCGATTCCCAGCAAGAGATGCTAGGTCCTTCCTCTCCCCATCAGCTTGCGACATTTGTTAGTTCTAAATTAAATACCATACCTTCCTCAAATCGGTTTCCTTTCATAAGAATCTACATCTTACTATCATCACGTTGCTGATGTAAAGTATGCTGCCCGTTCAGATATATTTTCTCGCTAGCAAAGACAATAGACAAAAGAGGAATTGAATGTTATATCTTTTGAAAATGTTTTGATAGTAATTTGAATATAAAATTACATTTTATTTGTGATTTGAATGTCAGCGGATGCTATTTCCTTTTAGAAGTCCTCGGACCGTCGCCTTCAGGCAAGG